ATTTCTACATACAGAGAATTCAGGGTTAGAGAATTATCATCGTTTTACACAAAGATCATTCATTTATTATACCTTGTTTAAAAAATCCCATCTAAGACAACTCTCAATCTACGGTAAAATCATTTGATTTCTATTTGATGTAATCTATATTTTCAGGAATCATCATCTCCTGTATCAATCGATGTATCCACAAAATAGATGTTGCAAATCGTATTCAAATATTAAAAAATCACTCTAGTTACGTATTGAATCATATTTATACTGAGTAAAGAATGACCAACTATGTTAACGTTTGATAAGGATATGTATGACTCAATTAAACTGTCCATAGAGTATAACAGAAATTTCCATTAATTATTCAATAACTCAGTATATTTGCTTACATACTTATAACAGGAGAAATAAATAATTTATAAGGTTTTCATCAATGTACTTGTTATTTGAAGTTTTAGAATGATTGAATTAGAATAGATGTCACAATATGTATCTATGAGTTAATTTACAGATAATTAAACTTTAGTTTGAAATTATTATTTTTTCTTCAGTAACAAAAGTAAACCATTTATTTCATTGTAATCACGAACCGATTGAAGTTGGACCACCACTGAAAATCTGAAGGAACTAGATAGCCGTTTTATCCTCGTATAGAACTTCTAATAAGTGTAGATTCTTTACCCTACCATTAAAAACTGTACCCGGATCCAAGACCTTCAGTATCGCATACGAACACTTAACTTCTAGACCACTGAGCTTGGATCCAATGATGTATGGGTTTAACTCCAATAAATTCTTGACATCAAGTGGCCATCTTCTACTGCCTGAAATGGAAATCTGTCTCATACTAGACATGGTTGAACATAACTAGTCACGATTTTTCACCAGAACTCTGGAAATTCCCTCTCAAAGCCAATCCTTAGTGAGGATATGATGATTATCAATATGGGGTTATAAAAAAATCTCATTCTATTTCAGGGGCTATTATCACCTGAAGAAACATTAGGGTGTAATGTTTAAAAAGAAACTCTAGTTAATTTCTAACATTAATCATTAAACTCATGGTACTGTACCTGCTCTCGATATCTTCAAAATATATTATAGCAAAAGACCGTATGACAACTCCGTATGACATACTTTCTACTCGTTTATTTTCAATTATCAATTTATTGTTATTCTAAGTTACTTTTGTTTAATCTGGTTGACGTTTTTTGGAAAGATTTTTTTCTACGGGATGTGGTTGCTGACCCCATGCCCAATCCTCCCGCTTTACCCGGACTTCGGACCGGCAGTAACGCTAGAAGAGCTAAAGGCGGAGTTAGAGCTGCAAGCGAACAAACGCAGATGAAGACAACTAGTGTAGCGGCATCCTCTGCATTAATAGGCCTCAGTATATAGAAAGGAAAAAGTAGGATCCTCAAATACAACACGGAGAACATCAATCCAATCGCACTTGTTGGAGAAACTCTGGAAGATGTGAAATCTTTCATGTACCTGAGAAGCATCATTGATGAACAAAGAAGATTGGAAGCAGACGTAAAGGAGAGGATTGGCAAAGCAAGGGCCACATTCCTGCAGTTGAAGAATATATGTAACTCAAAACAACTGTCAGTCAACATGAAAGGCACGATCTTCAGTACGAAAGTCAAGACAGTCCTACCGTACAGAGATGAAACGTGGAGAACTACTACAACCATCAATAAGAAGGTACAAGTATTTATAAACTGTTATTTACGCAGCATACTCAATATCCGTTGACCGGATACCATCAAAAACAACCTTCTGTGGGAGAGGACAAATCAGCTCCCAGATAAAGAGGAAATTAAGAAAAAACATTGGAAGTGAATAGGACATACATTAAGAAAATCACAAAACTGCATCACGAGACAAGCCCTAACTTGGAGTCCTGAAGGGAAGCGGGAAAAAGGAAGACCAAAGGACACAATACGTCAGGAAATGGAAGCAGAAATAAAAAGAATCAATGGCAACTGGAAAGGATCGCCCAGGACAGGTTTGGATGGAGAGTGCTGCTAGGAGGCCTATGTTACTCTACAAGGAGTAACAGGTGTAAGTAAGTAAGTAAAGTTTTCATTTATAAAATATTTAAACCACTCTCTGTATGAGCAGATTGTTCGACTCAACGTAACATAAATAAATCAGATTTTTCACGTTAAATCCATCTTATTGCTCTATCATAATATTAAAATGCCTTTAAAAAGTTTGTGTATTATTCACTGTTCAGTATGTTGTTTTTTATTTAGTTATTTCCAAATATGAACTTTATCGTTTTGTTTTGCTAATTACTGATGTTACTACATCAACCGGTGAAATTCCTTTTGACCTACATTAGATAGACCTAAAAGTATTATTATTATTATCATTATTGTTATTTTCACTATATCATTTCCTGTTTTAACACATCCGGTAGGTAAATATTTACGTAAACATATGAGCATATATAATAATATAACTAAACTCCCCGTAAAGTACGACTTTTGTCGTACGCCTCAACCGAAAAACTGTCAATGTATAGTAACCTTGAATGAAAGCAAAAAAAAGTATACTAACATGAAGTATTCAATCACTGTCTATTTATTCATCTATATTATCTTATATCTTTTATTATATTAGAAAAATGAAATGACATTTACACCGCAAAGGATTAATATGACTCTCAAGCTGGTTTCAGAGAATATTTCCTTCCGCTCACATTAGGACCATACGGAAATCCATATATAATTCACCTGTTCAATGACTTTTGTCATTTTTCCTACATTTTACGCCAAGATAACCAACTACATCACTGACAATTCTCAAAAGGAGAGATAGTGAACAGAATTTGAAAAAAAAAACCAAAAACTAAAGACAAACACAAGCTCTTTGCTTATCCCTTTCAATCACCGGACATTTAAATAAACCTGTTTCTTTACAGTCTGTCGATAGCAAACATTCTGTCTCATAAAGAGAAAACACATATGAAGTGATGTACAAGCCTAATGTGTAGCGAACTAAGCCGATGATAAACTGGTTTGATAACATCAATGAGACTGCATCATATGGACGACGTTTGAGCGACGTTGAAGTGACCTTTAGAAAACATACCAACTTACTGTGGTCAAAAGAGAGTTATGATTCGCATGAACAATTTGGATTAGTATTCAAAGTTGGAAGTTAGGGTTAGGAATTGAAGTAAGAGTTTTCACCGGGAACAAATATCAAATATAATTGCAAAATACTACTTAGCCATATGGATGAATATATTTCGTACCAAAATTCATGACTTGTTATCTTTGATTTTATGGGTTCGTTCATAAATTATGGTTTCGTCAATACTACTTCACTGACTAATTTTAACATGAATAATTCAAAGTCAAGCGTGTGACCCTAAAATGCATCTTTCACCGTTTATTTCCTAAAGATCTATAAAAACTTAAAATCAATACGCAAGGATTTATGGAGATTGGAATTTTCATGATTTAAATCATGAACTGATCTCGAAAACTATGTAGCATCGAACAACTGTTTCATTTAAATATAAGAGTTCCTAGCAGTGCGCTTCCACAACGTCGTCCCAAGAAATAGAATCCAGGGCCGTCAGTTTGGCAAGTGAACGCTCAAGATCTACTCGGAATCCTACAGAGTTCAACCATGTCAAGTGTAAGACGGTTACCTTTATGAGGCAATTAATGAAGATGGTTCAGTATTGTGAATTAATTTAACTTAAACATCCACGCCATTAGATGCTGAACCAGTGGTCTAGATTCTTTGTGGTGGCCTCGATGATGTTGACAAGACGAAACAGCTATTCAGTGTTTTCGCTTTTTCAAACGTAATTTCATTAAAATCAGTTAGGTATTAATAAATCTGTTTGCATCAAAAATACCTCCTACTAAAATATATCATTAAAAGGTATAATCTATAATTCGATAACATAGATGCTAACTGGTGAACTTCTCTGATTAAACCAGAATGATCTATATATTCAGAAAACTTTCTTTTTATTTGAATACAATTTATTATTTTTATGTCAAGTCATTCTCCAAATTATTTTCTCATATTGTCGGTGACACTCTCATTTGTGAACTACTTACACAAATTGTTTATCTGGTCTATAATTTACCACAGACCTACGGTAAACTAATTAGATTCGATTACCTCAAAAATAAATAAGTGTTTTGGTTTGGTTCTTATCTTTATGTTGACTTAAGTCATTTAGCCAATTACATCTGTTTTATTAAATAAATCGGTTTAATCATGATTATTTTACACTTTCTTCCAACGGTTTATAAAGCACCGAATAGGTTTTAAAAATTATAAAAATGGCTGTTTTGTCAATGCAGATACTTCTTCTAAAACTTTGAGTACTTGTGCAACCGATGAATGGTAACTGCTAGGAATCATTTATGAACCATTATTATATACACTCTTATTGGATAACTACTAAGTAACTATATGATACGTATAATAATGTTCCTTTTATTATGGGCTTCCACTTGATCTATTGATTACTACTATATGATTTACTATTCTTGATTTATGTCTAATTTATTAGCTACAGTCTCTTAAACTCACAGCCGATTTTGGGCTTGATATTTAATGGTATAATGAGGTCTGGTTGCTTGTACAACCAAATATGTCTGAAATATATAATTGATACGGTGGAAACTGAGATTGTGTTCTAGACTCAAACGGACAGGGCTAGGCAAGAAGAACCAATAAGGACTCAGAGTTGACTCTAGACTGCTCATACTGGTTAACGTGTCATTGATTTGGCATAGTGCCAAAGTCGTATAAGTTAGTGTTTTGATCGGCGATATAGTCACGCAATAATTGACGGGCTATAAGACATAACAAATAGTTAATGTTGATTCTAACTATTGTTATTTGTCAAAGTTTATGAAATCAATAAGTGAAGAAACCAAAACGAAACAAATTCTATGTCATATTGAATGTCTAAACTAATCATCATTTTATTCTATATTTTATTTTTATACTTCATTTTGTAGTTATGCTCATTTTTACAGTGAAAATGGAACCAACTATCGAGATTTGATAAAAGCTTATGGTATAAGATTTGTTATTCATGTTAGCGGTGAAGCTGGTAAATTTCATCTTCTCCCATTGACAATGAATATTGGTTCAGGTTTAGCTTTACTCGGTTTGGTAAGTAATTTTAAATAATGAAATATACATAATGCTTTATGGGCTTTAATAACTAGTGGTTTATATATTTTTTTAATGATATTAATGTTAAATAGCTTGTGAAAAAACTTTTATGGCTTTAGCATCGTTCATCGTTATCATGTGTTAAGGTCATGAATTGTAATTTTTTCCATTACGCTTTGTTCAGTATTTCGTCTACGGCTTTCTTCCAGACTTAATGAATTACATGTCTGGTCTTCACTATCAGGATTGAACAAACCCTAGCTGAGCTCTTATAGGTCTGTTATACTCTCTCCTTTCTCTATCCTATACCATAGATCCAAAAATTTAGCAGTCAGTTCCTATTAAACCCAACAAAGCTATAAACGAGAAACAATGAAGTTATAGGCCCGTAATAAATAGTGTAGAAAAAGTTTAACATACAATAACAGTTCGTGTATCAATGAAAAGCTTACAAGCAGGCGAATACAAAGAAACACAGAAATTCAAGTATTTATAAATTAAAGAATAAAAATATAAACACAATAATCTCAAGTAGGACAGTTCTGGCAGTTCATATTTCCCAGGACTTATCTCGTGATAACAAAAATGTATTTAAACAAAGTGTAAATGCAAAAAAATGTATTTGAAATAATTTCAATGATTGAAGTTTAAACAATCCCAACATATCGTTCAAAAAACATATCTGGGCTTACACAGAATAATCATTTTTCGATTGCATACTATTACTTTCACTATTTTGTTTATTCTCAAACCGAGTTTATCCAATCGAATTAGAACTTAAATTAAGTAGTAATAAAGTATAATCACATTACAACAGTTGAGATCATCAGTCAACTGAAGCTAGACCACCATGGAAAACCTGAAAGCATTGGACGGCCGTTTCGTCCTATTATGGGACTATTCAGCAGTGCGCATCATATTACATTGTTTCATATGAATGAAAGGGAACCTGAGCAAATAAATCAGGATACATTTTACCTGTAATAAATATTGACTTGTAGTTATTTTTTTAACAATTAATCCCTTTGATAAATTCGAATAATCCTATGAGAAGACGAAGGTTATCAAACTTACGGGATCTATTTACGTGATATATATTCGATATAATATTTTTGGTGCAATATAGGATTCTCTGCACAAAGTATTTCAATAAGTTTCCGTTTGTTATTTCTTGATCGATCCTGACGATAACTATTGAGTGATCGCTAGTTAGATGTTATCAAGAATCGACTTTTGAATAATGTACATTGTTTTGGATGTATGTTGCCAGCCACCACGCTGTCTCTGATTCTAATTTGTTGTAACTTGTATAGCGAAAAGTCGTAAACATTTCATCTGAATAGATTATGAGTTTAATAGACATAATGATGTGTTAAAACGAACAAAAAAGAGATAACTTGTTGAAATATCTAGATGGCAAGAACAGGCAGCACAAATACTCAAGCAGGCCGCCAATATATGATTACTTATTTACGCCTGCTATTCCCAATGGAGCATAATCCGCCGATCAGCATTCTCCAACCCACTCCGTCCTGGGCCTTTGTTTCTAGTTCTATCCAATTGTTGTTCATTCTTCTCATGTCTGTCTCCATTTCGCGGCATATTGTGTTCGTTGGTCTTCCTCTCCTCCTTTGGCCATCGGGATTCCATGTGAGGGATTGCCTTGTGACGCAGTTGGGTGCTTTCCTCAATGTGTGTCCTATCCACTTACTCTGCTGATATCTGGTTTGTTCTCTATCACATTAGGTTGTTACCGATAGTGTCTGGTCAACGGATCCGAAGTATTTAGCGTAGACAACTGTTAATAAACACTTGTATCTTCTGGATGAAAATAATACATTTCGAATAATCTGATCAGACAGTATATTTATTCACAATATTAATAAATGTAAAAAAATGGACAATTCAATAAATTACAAGGTAAAAGAAAACAAAATTAATAACAAAGTACATAACAACAACAACATGAAAACATAAATTATCATATAAATCAGTATTACCAGGATAGTAGGGTAAAGGTAACAACAAATTGTTTTTAAACAAGTCAAAGAGATTTCAGTTTTCATATAATCAATCAACACGTTTATAGAACACTACAAAAACCTTATTTAATATCAGCCTTATAACCGGTCACAACTAAATGTTTCATGACGTAGGAAAATATTTGTCTATCCCAGTAATTTTGTATTGTCAATAACAAATTCAATGGAAAATCAGTATGAATAAGAGGTTATATTTATGTTAGTAGTATGATTGGTCATCTTAGATTTACATATTATTTACAAAATTACCAAATCATGATGGAGGAGATTTGTGTAACCTTGACAAATTCAAACTTTTATTATTATTATTATTATTATTATTATTATTATTATTATTATTATTATTATTACTAAGAGTTTACACAGTGCTATAAAGAAAGAAGCCCAAAAACTAATGTCACCCATCCAATAAGCGCACACACAACATTTAGTTCGTCTAAATTCACTGATTTATTGATTTTAAACGATTGGTTACTCAATATTACAGGTAACGAATATTAGGAAAATACAAATGTAGATATTTACACTGAACTACTATTACTATTACCACTACTACTACTATTACTATCACTATTATTATTATTACTACTAAATGTATAATGTATGTCATTTTGTATAAAACGCAAACTAAATTAACACAAAAGATTTATTTTATTTATTTGAACATATAAATATTGGTACAAAGAGGCACACCGAATACACATACGTCACACAAGTCACTTGATCTGTGTGTGGGCTACGATACTGTATGGGTGCCCAAACCGTAGCAGGTGGTTTTCTTGGTGCGTCACTCCCGGAGCCTTCGACTTAAAGGTTTGATCTACAAGGCGGTGGAGTAACATCAGGAGATGCAGTCCGATGGTAGCCGGTGACCAATAATTGGTTCATAAGCCATTTGTTCCTTCAGGAAACTAGAGCCCATGTGCACCATTGGTTTGGAATCGGGGTTTTCTAACTCCCGTAGATGGATATTCCTTATCCACTAACCCGGTTTAAGAGCCGGATATTCGCTTTTCATCCTCTTAATTTCGTAATACAAAAGAACCCTGCACCAAATGATTGTCATAAAAGCAAAGAATAATACAGAATACAAAACATACAAACATTAAGATAAAATATAACTTTGTACGTGTTTATCCCCATCTAACATTTAGTTAGTTACTGAAGTTTTTGTCATATCATTAACAATATTTACTAACTACATACAATATGGAATACATAGGAATGTAAAACAATTAGTCCCTTTAATAAATTTCGATAGTATAATAAGAAGAAAATGAAAATGATCTAAATTATGTGATGATATATTAGCGCAATGCATTTCGAACAATCTGATCATATATATGTGATCAGATTATTCGGAATGTATTGCGCTAATATATCATCAAACAGTTCTGATAATCTTCGTCTTCTTCTTACACTATCAAAACGTAGTAATATATAAAGAAAAATTAACATTTATTATTAATCATTCATTGTTCGAATTAGTTTTAAAACTATTCAATAGAATTACCTCCGATCTTTTTTGAAAACTCTATTTTAATCCCTTTCATTTTTAAAGTTATGACAGTGTTACTAAGGCAAATTTTTTCAATATTCATATAATACACAAAAGAAAGTGTTTTTAAGTGTGTGTGTGTGTGTTTTACGTCTTATCCTGATATATAGATCTATTTCTATGCCGTATAACTGTAGCAACAATAATAGCAACAACGACAACAAGAACAACAACAAAAATGATAACAAAAAACACTGTTTTAGTAAATTCCTGTAGAATCTGCTTTTTTTTCCTTTAAGATTCGATTATGAAATCACTGGAAATATTAATCATAACTTTTTTGTCGATAATACAACAAATAAATTAGAAGTAAGGGGTTAGTTAATAAAAGAAAAATACTACAGATTTAATTGTTCATTACTAATGTCCATTTGGAAATTGATTTATAATTATTATTGCCTATTACCTTGATTGTACTTCATATTAGTTGATATTATACAATTTCTATTTCTGTTATGTTTTAGGCGCCAACTGTCTGTGACATAATTGCATTAAATCTTTTAAGATCAAGAGATATTTATCAACGTGCAAAATTTGAAACAATCGCTGAAGAACAAGCTCATTTATCTAGTCGTCGTGCTGATAAAGCACAACGTAAAAAATATGGTTTATCTAAACGGAATACAGATACAGTAAATGAAAATTCAGATGAAAATGGTAAAATTATACAATGGAAAGATGATCAAGAATTTATAGTAAATGATACACAAACTATACATTCATCAACGTAATCATTGAATAATTGTAAATTCAAATGGAAATGGTACGTTTTTTGTTGTTGTTGTCTTTTCTCTCTAAAATGGTTTCACTCATCTTACATGAAACTGTTGAAACATTAAAAGACAATGTAATCGAAGCTATGAAGTATATATGCATATATATAAGATAGGATCATTTCCTTCAATCTTCATTCATATCTTTTTAATTGTTATTCACTCGTACATATTTGACGTTAGTTCAAATTATATCTTAACTTCTTTAACTATTGGTAGTTATGCTTTTGACTTTTTAAAACTTCCAATGTGATACATGACAATCGTTTACATTTTTAACATCTACATTCATATTTGTTTACAAACTATTACTAACATAAAGCAAAAGGATTAACATACATGAAAAGTTATATCATGCTTCTAGATCTGTTGTAAATGTTTACAAATTTTCATTAATTATTGTCATTTGTCTGCTTTGAATGTGTTCCCTTTTATTTTGTCTTGTTCTTTTGTTTTTCTTTTCTGTTTTGTATTCAACAATTTCTATTCGGTTATCTGTTTTCATTTATAATAAATTAATATATTTCATTCCTGTTAGAAATTATTTGTTGAAAATGAACAACATTGCATTTCCCTCAGCAACCACCATCCACCCCCACCCCCCAAAAAAAAACACAACGAAAACAAAAATGGATCCATTTCATCAGAATGTGAAAATATTCAAATATCAATTGGTTACTATCATCTTAAGAAATGATGTCCATTTAGCGAGCGGAAAAATGGATTTTGAAAACAACCAGTATTTTCACATTTATATACTTCAATTTAAAGTTATTGAGAAACTTTTTTTCTTAAATGATAAACCAACAAATTGGAACTATTCATTTGGAATTTTTACCATGTTCACTTTGATGTAACTTTATTCTGTATGTTTGGTGAAAGAATATAATTTGTGTTTTTTTCTCTCTCTCTCTCTTAATTCCTTAGTCTTTTTTATTATAAAATTATTTTACAAACATTATCTATGATAATCTTAATGTATTATGCATTTGTCAAAAGTACACATCTGTGAATTATTATAAGTATATATATACATAGTCTAAATCATGAAATAATCTTAGCTAGAACACTACTGAAAACCTAAAAACTTCGGACGGACGTTTCATCCTCGTATGAGACTCCTAAAAAGTGAACATCCAGGAATCTACCACGGGGAATCGAACCTAGAACTTTCGGTCTGTCATGCAAATGTTTGACCTTTGGACTACTAATCTGATATCTGATGTTGTGAGTGTCCAGCTTAAATCAAATCATGATATTGCACAACCTTCATCTATCGTTTACAGTAAATAACAATATCACACCTGATATGGTTGAACTCTATTGGTCACAGCTTCGTACTAGATTTCCTGGAGTTGCATCTTGAAACTAGTGAGCACATGATTATTTTGAGTATTTATGTATATGTTACGTGTTTTCTATATATAATTCCTATTCGAAAAAGAAATATTTTTGATTTATTTTTATCAGTAGCTGTAGCATATTTGCATAATCCAGTCCAAACTGATAGGTGATAACTTCTCTGGATGGAACAGTATGTAATATCCCTATGAATCCAGCGGAATTATCGGCTGTAACATAAACGTACGTATACCTTGCTAAAGAATACTAGATAGTACGAATTTAACTTGACGATTTCTTATCGACTGATATCATCCGTTTAACGTGGATTTCCTTTCGTGAAACATTTGCTTGGTTAAAAAAGCGCTATTTTTAGGATTTAATGGATGTCATACATTGAGGAAAAAGAGGAAAATTCCGTAAATCTTTAATAACCAATTTTATCCACACTGAATACAATTATTTAAAATCGTATGTAGGTAACTTCTGCAGAAGAATGATTACATAACACTTTCAATAAAAAATTTACAGTAAATATCATTAGGCAATGTAACACACAAATGAACTGAAAACAAACAGTGAATATGACTGAAATATCTAACATACAACATATCAGTGATTATTATCAGAAAGAAGTTTTTGTGGATATTATAGTAATTTTAATAGTTGAGTTCATGAGTCAATTGAAGCTAGACCGCCATGGAAAATCATGTAATCGCCGGATGGTCGTTTCGTGGGACGCCTCAGCAGTGCGCATCCACGATCCCACCTCACGAGATTCGAACACAGGACCTATCGGTCTCATGCGCGGACGCTTAGCCTCTACACCACTGAGACAGTCGGCATCCAACAGTGTTAATATCTGATTTCAACCAAAAATTATCGATGGTTGATACAATTAGAATTTATTCTTTTGTAATCTTTATCTATGTATTGATTCGCTTCTAACAAATTAGGCTTAGTAAATGCATAGAAAAGATATGAGAGATTCTTCACTAGTTGAGGAATATTTTCACAGCTTTTCTTAAATTTTGTATATGAACGCCCATGGGGACCATTATTCCAGTAGTGTGTAACTTTTAGAGGGCAATACGAAGTCTCTGCAACAGCTTTTTTCTGTATAACACAAATTAAACGATCGGCATACACGCATCGTGAGAGATGAATTGGATTAATTAATTGACTAATATAAATTAATGGAATTTATTAAGCACGTACATATAAAAGGATGCGAGTGAGTCATCAAACACGTTAAGAGTGAAAAAAATATATGGGTGGGCTGTAACAAGTGACCAATCACATCTATTTATGTACGCGTGCGAACATATTATGTAGACGAATATCTTTAAAACATCTGTAGTTTAAATTTATTATTCATATACGCCCCCGCGACGATAAAAACTTTTTCACCCCTTTCCCCTTTTGCACTCCTCGAACTTGTTATTTAATAAAGAGGAAGAATGGTATTTATAAAATCTCAGCGAAAGAATTTGAAGTAAATCCAGCGTATCGCCTGGCAATCTGGTCCAAGCTTTTTCGGCACCCAAATATTGTGAAACTATTCGTTCAAATTTAGATGAAAGTTCTTATTTATTTCAGCAGTTTAAAAATCCCCATAGAATATTCAAAAACGAAGAATATTTGAGCGAACATTTGTTTTCAATAACTTCATCATCAGGCTCTACAGTTATAAGTCCATAATTATAATATTTTACAAAGGCCAAAAATAAGGCATGTTTTAATGAGTTTGACAATGTTATGTGTTAAAAATGGTGAACGTTTGCATCTGTTACGATATATATATATATACCTCAAAAAATTGTAATATTTGCAAATTAGAAAGGTCATTCAATAAAGGTCAGTAAATTGTTCAGTCACAATAAGATAATATAATAGTACTATTGCAAAATTGAAAATAATTTTGTCAACTGAGATAATAATAATAATATTGTTGTGTGAATATAATATGTAATAGGGGGGGGTGTTATCAAGGTAATTACGGTCAACAAAATTGGGAATGATGGATATGAAGATTAAGATATAGATAATGACAAATAATGATAATAAGGAAAATAAATAAAATGAAGAAGGAAGGAAGGAAGGGGTAAGAGGTTTATAGTATACAGTTTGGGTATCAGGTGATCCAGTCGTAGGCCAGGGTAAACATAGAGGCTGGATATATTTTTTCTGGATGCATAAGTTAGGTCTTCTGGAGTTGATCCAGATGGCTTCGGCTGTGTAAAGCAGTCGTAATCTAGCTCCTTGAGGTAGATATTTTGGAACTTGATATAAAACAGAGAAAGCTTCCTCTATTTTGATATGATGTTCACTATCTACTAAGTGAGAAAGAATGGTGCTGTTAATTGATTTGGTGACTCCTTTTCCCAACCATGCTGGTACATGTTCACGAACACGCAAGGATAAAGCCCTCTGAGTACGGCCTATGTAACTAGCTCCACAGGAGCAGTTGAATTGGTATACACACATGGAGGAGCCCATCTTCGGTAACTTATCCGTGATTAGTTGTGTGAGTACTGGTTTAGTCGAGAAAGTTATGTGTAACTTGGCGGCATGAAACGTCCTCTCGACAGATCTTTTGAGTCGACGTGTTAGAATATCACCCGCTATGTCGCCTTTAAAGTCAAGTTTCAGATATAGGGTCTTTTTACTGACCGTGTCGCAATGTCTTCTCTTTTTAATACTTTGTACGAGGTATTTTTTGACGAAATTATCCGGATAGCCATTTTACGTAATGTGTTCTTTAGTATAACTATTTCTTCCTCCACACTGTCTTCAGAACATAATACCTGATTCTGTGGTTGAAACACTTAACCAAATTTATTTTATATTGCAGAGGTGTGAAGCTTTGGAAATGGGTATACTGACCCGTCCATGTACACTTCTAAACATATTTCGCTTTATGGGACCATCTCTCCTTCTAGAGAGCCGGACATCTAGAAAAGCTATGCTATTGTCCTTTTCCTCCTCGTTGGTGAATTTAATGGCTGGGTGGACATTATTGAAAGCGTCTACATCTCCTGTTTGTTGATATTTCGTCACATATGATTAATGTGTCATCTACGTATCGACAGTAATAATCAAGCTTATTTAAGATGTCTTTAAGCGGTCCATTTTCTAGTTGGTTAGAAAAATATTAGCAAGGATCGGGCCTAGATGTGATCCCATTGCTACCCCATCTACTTGTCGGAAAAATTCATTGTTAAACTTAAAGTAGATATTCATAGTGCATTTCAAGAGTTCTTTCATTTTGTTATTGGGATAGGAGTCCCTATTTTCTTTTCTATCAGTTGTTCACATATGTAATCTATAGTTTCGGTCAGAGGGATGTTAGTGAACAAAGATGTTATGTCTAGTGATAGTATGGTTTTTCCATTTATATTCATATTTTTAATTGTATCAACAAATTCAAAGACGTCTTTAACATTATGCTTAGCAAGTTCTTGGTGCAATGGTTCTAATAACTTAACTAACCATTTTGCTGTTGAATGGTACGGTGAATTTGCCATATCCAGTATCGGGCGTAGAGGAATATCAGGTTTATGGATCTTAGGTAGACCATATAGTCGAGGGGTATGTGTTCCAGAAAGCTTAAGCACCAACACATCTCTGAGCATACCTATAATATAGAATCGGTCATCCAATGTTTCTAGATTTACAGTGATGGTCTAACTTACATAGACCCATGAATTCAGCTATTAAAATCACCACAATCTCCAAAAACACCCATTCTAATAATAATGTAAAAGTAAATCACTAATAATAATTATTGTCATTAGTTAAATAATGTCTTAAGCTGTATACAATCAATAATGATCTCAGTAAGACGATATTCAAGTAACTGACTTATGAATTTGGAAATTTAACATGTTATGCAATGAAATAAGATGAAATGAATGTATTCGTTATCCACTAGTTTTTATTCAATGAACATTGTATGTTATCTATGGATAGTGTGTGAATTAATAGATGTTTATTTTAAACCATAACAAAACCACAGTGTTTAAACAAACATGTTCATACAAAAAGGTCGTGATGTTAGGTTTTTTGGGAAATGGAGTGAATGGTGTGTAATTATCATCTATTTAACTGAATTAAAGAGAACTGGAAAGAATGTAAAAGTGTGAGTAAACTTTACCTTGACAAATTATCTTTATATATGGATATTGTGAAGTAATAATTAACAAATAATAATAAGGGATTTGAAGGTTTATGTATGTGGTGAACCTAATTGGTTTACAGAAGTATCCAAGTGGAATTGTAAGTTAGTTGGGTGTATTTATAAACCATTATTCTCTTTCCTGTATGAATGTACCTAGTTAGTCACTGAAACTTTGTTTACCGTAAGTTGACCAACTATGAATGGTAACCTCAAAAATACTAAAACAAAATTATGTAGCTCATCAGGAGAATATTTTTTGGACAGGGTGATAGTTATTGTAAGAGTTTGCAAGTGATAAGAAGTTTGATGTATATTTTTCCGACTATAATAGTTAAGTTTATTTTTATAATTAATCTGGTAATAGAACTTTTAGTCTAAATATTTTAGTGTATTAAGTCTTTGAATATTTTTTAACGAAATCAATGGTAAACTTCTAGGAATCTCACTGAAAACGATGATGACTTCAAAGCCATGACTATTCAAGGGTATTTATGTCACGATATCTACTCTTTATCAACAGTAAATATAAATTGTACATAAGTGAACGACATAAAGCCCATCCATTAATTTCCAGATTTAAAGGTTAAGTGTAATAAGAAAGAAAATTATATATGGTAACGAATTTCTAAATCAAGGTAACATAATATTGTTTCGATTTGCAAGCAAACAATACTAACCATAAGACTTGGTAGTAGATAAATAGAATGTATAGTCAACTCATAATCCAATGGGTATTTTTGAGTTTAAGTAAAACAAACTTATATATATATATATACAAGTGGAGTTCTTGGATATTCTATTCTGTTTGTCCATATATTTAACACCCCACTTTATAAAGTAGGAACAAAATCAACCAATGGGAGACAACCAAAACAAAGGAGGTAAACAATGACAAATTTAAGGTCAATAAGAACAAT